AGGACACAGTTGAAACATCTCAGTCTCTCATAAGGGCTTAATCTAGCAGGCGAGACACAGTGATGAAGGGCGCTGAAAAAATAAAACAACTTGGAAAAAAAAGCATTTTGAAACTAGACTCAACAGATGAACCTGGCATATAAGGACTTCTTCCCTTTGGCACAGGTCCCCCTTCAGAGATCACACAACTGTTGTGGAAACGCCACCAGCCCTCGTGCAGCTCCTGGGCTCCAGCCCAGTCCTCATGCGCTACAGGACACCACGGCCACGCTTCCACAGGCAGGCCTGGTTTATTTTCCCACCTTGCCCTTCACTCCTCTCCTGCTGTCTGGGGAGCAGACTCGGCAGTGCAAAATTAGGCCAGTCTCCCTACACGGAGTAAATAACAAAATCAGCTCTTCTTCTGTCACACCATTTCTCCGTTCTTCAAATGTACCAAAGCAGAACAGCAACGAGAACAGGAGTTTCCCAGCTTAGAAGCCATTACGGTTCACGGATGCAAATCCTACTGGGAATGTTCTAAGTGGAAACAGATACTGTACATTATTTAACCGTACCCGGATAGCTGAATAATGCCTTGTAGTCACTCTACGTAGCTAATCGCTTTAGAGGAAAAGAGTTATTTTCATTGTCCCATTCCATGGAATTGCAGTAGAAAGCATTAAATAGGCTAAGGCATATTTAATACAGAGCGATGCTTATCCAAGGAAAGAAAACCTTCTTCCACAAAAGCATCTGGGAAGGAGAGGAGGGAAGAAAAGAGAAGAATAAGCTGAGTGCACATCAGCTACTGAACGATGCCTCCAATTTGACTAAGTCTGAGGTTTCCCAAACCACCTTGTTCATTATTTCCGGGAACAAGAGAATTGAAGAATGAGCAACAGAAACCTCAAGAGACAGTTAGAAGATCTGCGTAAGCAGATACGTGCAGCCACGTACAAAGGAGAAAACTGACCTCCGTATACTCATCTCCTGTCTCAGTTGCCACATCCTATTCTCAATTCTTGACGAACACAAGTGATCCTCTAACAAACAGACAGAACTGCTGCACAAATCATTTCCAGCTTTGCCACTCTGACCACAACATTTTTCCCTCTGCTCCCTCTGTTGCCTTTCTTTTCATCCCACCACATATCTGCAACCTGCCCTCACTTTCAAGCCCACCATGCTCTGCTTGTCCTAAATCTCACCCAAAATTCACAGAGAGCGCTTCTCCCCTTTGGCTGACCAGAATGGCTCGATCACCTTCTACTATTATTTTAAACATACGCTGTTTGATGTGTCCCTTCAGCTTTGGAACAGGCTCCCCCAAAATACCCACAAAGCCATTTCATTTCTTCCTGGGGCTTCTATCTTCCTTCGTTCTGAAGAAAGTGGAAAGTGTCAGTGGAAGGCAGGCTGAAAGGGGTCACTATTGTGACTTCCCTGTATCTATATGCAGTCTCTTTTCTACTTACACAGCTCTCTGGGACAGAGATTGTGTTTCTATTTCTGCTTTTAAAGGGCAAATGTACCAGGTCCCTGATCCACCAGAGCTGTGAATCATTGGAGTAATAGAAAATATAACAACAACACGGATGGGATGCACTTGCACCTAAATTTCCTAAAGCACGCCAGACAGGAACGTGAGCCTATACCGGTGTTTTGGCTGTAACATGCCTGCAGCTCACGCAGCTCATGCGGCAGTTGAACTCCCAGTGGCAGAGTGGATAAGAGGGAGCCCCTCGCACACAGCCCACGGCAGCAGCAGATGGGACGTTCCCCATGCAGCCGTCCCCTGAAAATGCTTCTCACCCACTCTGTGCAGAGCAAATGCACGTCAGTTGGTTTACATTACTTGAGTTTCTAAATTAAACCTCTTACCAGCCAGCTAGAAGGCAACAAAAGCCACCAGTTAGTTTTCACATTACAGCATTCTCTAAGTCAGGAGAAACGGTAATTACTAGAAATGTTAATTACTAATTTAATCTAGGCAGCTCTGCTGGAGCAAGAAATCGTGCAGCCTGCAACACACCTCCAAGGGAATGATTCTTCTCTCACTCTCTGCCTTTATTTTTGCTCCCCATCCAAATTATCTCCTTTATTTTCAGTAACATCCATCCTCATTATTGCCACGGTGGGCAGCACAATCACAACAAGATGCCCTCCCTGTTCTCCAGCCACAGCCTTCTCCTGAGACTTGAAAATTCCAGTGCACCAAGCCAGACACGTGCCACCTGGTCAAAGTCCCACTGCCTGCAGCTGGTGTGTTTTCCAAACATACTTAACAGCCAGACATCCAACTCCTAATAGCTGCTGCTATGCAAAAAATGTGTTTTGCACCTATGGGGACATGAATAAGATGCAGCTCTCCAGAGAAGGAACTTTACAATGTTCATCCCACACAGGACTAAAAAAGAATAAAGGGGTGGGGTGGTGAATGGTTGCTCCTCTTCTCTTTTTTGGTGCCCAAAATACGGAGAGGCTGCTGAAAAGCTCTATATGTGTGAAGTTCTGCTCTCAAACATACATATGTGATGCTCATTACCATGAACCAGAGCCACATCGAAATAGCTGAAGGTACAGATGAGATCAGAGTATTTAGGTTTTAATATTAACTGAAATAAGTAATCCTCAAATCTATATAAGTCACAACAGGCCAGTAAGCATCCAATTAAGACAATACAATTTAACATTCATGGAAACAAAGAATTCTTATTTCATGGGCTCATTCTATTCTTACACCTAGATATTATTCCTAGATATGCTTCCCAGATATTATTGTACCATACAGTCTAAGATCAGATAAAGTCAGCAAACCCTGGAAACACCCAGAATCTAAAATAGCGAACTGAAGCTGGAGTTTCACTAGAGGTAAAATCTCTTGAATCTTTTGGCTTTTAAAAACAAATGCAGGTGAAAACAGCTGAAGGGTTTTGATGACAGAATATAGATCTTGAGAGCTGCACACATTAGCCTTTTATATTAAATTTGTTAATAAACTCAATTATTCAAGTATTCAATTTGTACATAAATACAGAGTGACTGGAATGCATCTATTCCAGCATCTTCATTTTTTACATTCTTCAAATTAATCTTCATTTACATGCAAGAACATCCAGAATAAAATTCACCTGCTGCACGTTCAGCTGTAGATGTTGCTCAGTTTTCATGCAGGGAGCCAAATGCGACTCTAAACCAATATTTTTTAATGAAGTTGTTCCTTTGTATTTCACCTAAGAATATCTGCAGTGCTCAGAAAGCAGCATCACTTCTTTACTCTGGTAGCCAAGTTCAGATTTCTGTAGTAGCAGGGACAATTCAAAAGTTAAGACAGCTTTTCCTAAAACTGCCACTACATAAATCTCTGCTATAGACTTAACCAGAGTTACCTGGACTAAAGTAAGTCCTCTCTAAAGGGCAACACACAGTGTGAAGCACCATTTGAGCTATTTTTGAGATGTCATGCATGGCGCGAAGGCTTCTGGGAGAACACTTCCTGCACCACAGTAAGCTCAGCCACTCTCCAAATTTTTTCCTGGTGAATTATGCTAAAACTGGAGCACACTGGGGAAATAGCAAAGACACTGGAGGACTATACAGGATGCTCACTGAAGCCAGGTTGCATCTAGAACTGAAGAACAGTTGCATTTTCAGCTGAGCTGTTCTAACCCAAATACTATTTGATGAGGTGGCAAGCTCAAGTTAACAGCATTACCGTATGGGATTTAATGGGATCTTTGCAAGGAGGACTCAAATTGTAGCTTAAGAGAAATAGTTGTAAGATACAGGTAACATAACTCCTCCAAGAAAATACTTGCTTTCAACTTTCAGTATTAGAATTTGCTTTATTTATTTGCTTTCACCAAACAACAAGGGAGCTTTACATTTTTCTAGGACAGACCTAAGAAAGGAAAAAGAATTATATTTCAAAGGGTGCAATTACAGCAGAATCAGTATCAGAACTAACAGCACTAAAATAATTGTTTAAAATGAAGCCAGCTTCTGCCTCAAGAACTCACAGGATTAGAACGTGGATTAGATTTTAAATACACTTTCATTGTACAGCATTATTGTGTGGCATCCAGTCAAAGCAAACAGCACACGCATTTATTTTCCATTGCTGCCTTTCAAACGGATAAAACTATGAAAAGAATAAAAAAACAAATCTTAAAAAAGACTGTAAATTCCTTGGGAACTACCAATGAAGGAGGCTAGTAAAATTCCCCTTTTTGCCATTTGCACTGAGGCATGTGTTAGAATGGCTATGCATGACTTGGTAAATACCATGTACCTGCAGCAGAGGAAGCAAAGAACAAACTGTAACATAAAGATTTTGTAATATCTTCTGTAATAACTACCTTGATCTTTATCATCTGAGGGCTTGACTGGCAAAGACTTTTGGAAGAGACTTCTTTTCAAAGAGTGATGTTCCCTTGCTGTGTTGGCATTGTTAATATCTTTGTATATACACACATAAACATGTATGTATGTGTACATACACACAAACATGCAGATTTTATACTGATGATAATTGTCAGGAATAAAAAAGAACAAAAGGGGCCAAAAGACCTCACCTATGCAGAAGCTCTATGTTCTATGCCATGATGAAGAGCAGCCCTGTCATGACTAATTTCCTGGTTGACAGCTCATAAGAGGATGAAAGCAATACTGAAGAGGTAATCTCTTGTGTCCCAGCAATTAGCATGCACAAATATTAACATGGTTGGTTACAGGACGATGATTAGTTTGTTCATGACTCCCTGGAGGGCCACCCACAGAAGGGAAGTAAGGCAACGTACAGTGATGGAAGGAGAAAAAAAGGCAGAGCCTGATGACTGGCACTGATGGTTGGCTACCTACTCGATGGTTGGCCACCTACTCGTGACAAGGAAAACGGGATTGTGAGCTAAGATTTTGGTCCAGTTCCATTTCAAGAGTCACTAGATACTTCTCTTTAGGCTTCAGACACACAGGAGAGCATGTCTGCTATACTGCTGCTCATAATATCCTTCACTTACCTTCCAAAAACTGTATGTTTCTTGTCCAGATATGCACAAGAGCGGAATGTGATGAAGCTGGAAGGAATAGAGACATAACAGTTAGCCTATTAGCTCACTGACACTCAACAACAGCCAGTAATGCTTAAAAACAGAAAGTGCATGCAAAAGCTGTCTGAGAGAAGACAAGAAGACCCTCTCCCTCTCTGGCTCCTCTCTGGGAGGCCCACTGGCCAAACTTCCTTTAAGTCCTCTGTTTTGTGGGTTTCGTCTTGGATTTCTGGAGTTTTGACTTCTCATTTTTACACCTTATTAACATCCCTAAACAGTACTCCAAGCAAAGTGACTTGCACAAAGTCCAAAATTATTCTGAGCATCTGCCTCCTTGGCCAGGCAGGCCCTGGGAAGCTCACGCAGGACGGAGATGTGCAACATGCTTGAGAAGTACATTTTTTGTGCACGATTGGGAGCTTGTATCCTGCTAATACAGTTATAGAACTCAACAGTCTCTGCCAGCGTAAACTTCTGTCTTTTAGGATATTTACTTTTTGCATTTCTCTTCCATTAAATTGGCCTGTCGGTGATCCATTTCTCCTCTGGACAGAGCAAATTTGTGCTTCAGATCCAAACATGGCAGAAGAATACTTCGAAGTGCCAAACATAATGAAAACCTGTGAAACTTGGATTTTTAATTTTTAATTAACTGGACTTTTAATTTGCAGGGGTTATATTTTTAAACTTAAACAGGGGAACCAAAAGACCAAATCCAAAGCAACCTTTACTACTAAAACTTTTCTCTAAATCTTAATGCTTCTTTGGAAGACTTGGACTACAAGCGTATGAAACGGAGGTTTCCACACTGGTCTGCAGACCACGATGGCCCATCTTGGCTGGACACACAGTGCTGGCTCTCCTCCCTGTCTCCATCTGTTACACTACATTAGAGACAGCTAAAAATATATAAGCATTCCAAAAGCACTTTTCCATATAAGCAACTGCCTCAGGAAGTTATATGATTGCAAATAGGAGGGGCTGCAATCTGCCAGATAATCTATTAAGACGTAACTAGCCCCAGGAAAGCTTTGAGAGGCTGCGCAGAATGCGAACTCCTACACAGGGCAAACATTATGACTTAGCCTTGTGCATGGGCTCTTTGCACCACTTTATTCCCAGATATCCAATATTTAAGATGATCGAGTCGTCAGTTATGTAGCATTGTAATAAAAAAAAATAAATCTAAGCAGTAGCAAACATATAGAGAAAGCTTCTCTTCCATCACCGCAGTCAAAATAAATTAAGGACGATGGAATTAACATAACTCAGGATGATCCCAGAGGAGAAGCCCTGAGCATTATTTGAGCATTCCTTACACAGGGGACCCAGCTCACTCTGCACTGCAGTGCCTACCACGTATGGGGAGAGCTATTCACCCAGTTCCTGAGGTCACAACAGTTGCCAAAAGCATCTGACCACTGCTTAGGAAGCTTTATAAATACAGGCAGCTGGAGTCTCTCAAGGACTTCACATATAAAGGAATTTCATTTTTCATTTGCAAATTTTAAGGAAACATATGACCACATTTACAGCAGCAGATGATGTGACTCAATATGGCACACCACTCATGAACTGTCTTTATAACTTCTGTTTCTAAAATCCCTTTTTTTTAGGGGGGGGGGGGAAAGGGGGCCTCTACTCTCCCCTAATTTAGCACCTGAGCACTGGCAATAACATTCAGATCCAAAATAAGCTCTACAGCAACTCGATCCTGCAAACTGCCCAACATGTGCTTAGCCTTAAGTATGTGAGTAAGCCTATTAAAGGCCCTGAAACAAGCACTTGCGTTTAATTAAAGCTAACCACACTACTGCATAGTTCACAAGCCATAATAATACTTAATATCACGAAGACCAACACCAAGAACCCCTTCTCTCCCTCCCCAGTCTCAAGACATACTACTGTTCACACACTCGTGCGCTCACTCTCTTTCCTGGGGCTCCCAATAAAGGCACAGTTCTATTGCAGTCCTTAGAGAGCAACCAACAAACAGTTGGCTCAAAGCGACAGAACATTTTCAAAAGACTGCAGGCAAACACCCGTATTAATGTTACACATAAAGGAGGTTATTACAACTTCAATATTTTTAAATTTCATTTGTTCATTAATTTTTTCTTCATTCTGTTTTTGTACATTCAAAACCGAGTCATTCTCAGCCCCAGACTCTGCACACTGCCACGTCTGGGTTTTACACATTTCAATAGTGCAGAACTGTTCTCATTTCTTTAAAATTAGGTGAGTAAAAAGAAGCAATGTTTCCATAGAGTATGTTTCATTTCATTAAGCCCTTTCAAACAGTTCAATACAGGACTAAATTTAAACAGATTAGAGAGGTATAATGATCTTACAGGGATAACAGTGGGGGGACACTGACAAAAATGAATAAAAACTTCACATCATAAACACAGAAAAGAGATATTAATGATGGTATTATAAACCTACAGGTCTTCATGCCATGCTTCACTTTGCACTTAGATTGGGTAACAGCAGCTGTAGCTATCCTGATTTCAATATGCAGCACTCCACAGACTATTTCACTTGACTGAACTTTAAAGAGTAGCTTGTAAAATGTCATTTGTTTTCCTAACAGAGTAAGACACAATGTCTAGAGGGAAACAATAAAACACAAAAAGCAAATGACTACTTACAACTGTGATTTGTTTGTGTTAGGTCCCGAATTGGCCATACTAAGAACACCACGTCCCGTGTGGGACAAATTGGGCTTAAATTCATCTTTGAAAGGTTTTCCCCAGTAAGATTCTCCTCCTTAAAAGAGAAAAGATGATAGAAGAAATGTTTGTTTTCATTAGTTTCCCACTACATTTTATAACATTGTGACATTAAATTCAAGGTTTCTGACACTTCTGACCACCACATGTATAATATATTCTTACCTCACCCCTATCACTAGGCTAGTATTTGAGCAGACCCTTGAAATCAGATGTTTGTAACCGGCAACACAATTCTGTGTCCCCACACTATCAACTGCAATAGACCAGGCTGTTTATCAACAGCATTATATATTATGTGGTGAAGAACTGTCAAGGATTTAATTTTTTACTGCTGGCCCACCATAATTTTTCTTTTTTGAGACATTAAATCTTTAAAAGTGGCTTCCTGACAAATCATAGAGCAAAGGATTACTAGTTTAATCTCACTCTGGATATAGCGTTCCTTCTGGAAATAAAATATCAGGGAGATGAAAGACGTTCATAGAATCAACTAAGAATAAGAGCTATAAGCTCAAATGCTTAATTCCTGGCTAAACAATGAAGAATGACAGTATATATTCCAAAATAAAAGGTAAAAATTAGATATTTGGCTTAGATACATGGATGATGTAAATACTTAAATGCAATGAAGTCAAAAGGATGATAAAACTTTGTACAAACCACAGACCTAGCCCTCCAAAACTGATTTCTTTCCTATGTCTGTGGATAGAAAGAGGGTCTGGGAGACCTCTCCTCCTGGCTGTCATTTTTACATTATTTATGACAGATCTGACATTTTCATTTGCACTTTCCTCCAGGATCACTCTTAATAAGAAAAACGAAGGCTGAGATGAGTCATAGTTTTACAGTCAAATCCATAATCTTGTTTGACAAACCATGAAAAAATATTTCACCTTAGGATAGTATTAAAAATAAAGCAAACAAAACTATCCAAACAGGCAGCAAGCCTGGTCCATCTGCAGAACTGGCTCGAGAATCCTCTAGAGGAACTGTATCCCTGGTGAAGCAGGAGGTCAGTAAAGGATCTGTAGTGCTCGACGGCTATTTGCACATGCAATACAGAACAGCAATTTGATGACACGGCTGCACAGGCAAGCAGCAAGTAAAACTGAGGAATAAACCAGACTTCTAAAAACCTGATGCAGAAAATCACAAGAGTGCATCAGAGGAGAGTTTCAGGTGATACCATGAAAACAAAGCATCGCAGATGGACAGCTGCAAGTGCAAATGGAACTAAGTAAGCAAGAAATTTTGGAAGAAACTGACCCACTTAAAAACCCAATTAATCATGTTCAAAAGAGCTATTAATAGAGTTGATTGTTGCCTGCTCTGCAATTTGACTAGAGGCATCAAAAGGGGACAAACCCTGTAGGGATTTTCTGTAATCAAGAGTAGAGGAAAAGTGATTACTTCAGCAATCTTTGGCTATTGAATATTTTAAGATCAGCTAAATTACATCAGGTTGATCCCATATGCCAATCTCTTCCAGTACTGGGTATGGTACAACTGCAGCCAGCTCTACTGTCTTGACAAAGATGGATCCAAACCCCAGCTATTCTAGCCAAATCCAAAGTGTTCAATCCATTAGAAAATGCCTTACCAGAAGCCGGTAATTTTCTTCGCTAATGAACCTCCCTGTGTGTTCCTGTTTGCTATGAGAGGTTACTTGTGCAGTGCCTTAGTTACCCACCTCGTTCAGAAAACCAAATTCTTGTAGGCTAGTAAATACACAAGTTACCCTCAGAATACGGTGAGGCTGCACGCCATCAGGTGCTGCCCAAAGCCAGAAACACACCTGCAAAGCCTGCAGCCCATCGACAGCACCATGTTCTGCGCACT